AGCGAATCAGCGCACTGTATTCAGGTCAGGGGACAAGGCTACTTTCACTTTGAAAAGACGTGCTAGCTGAGAGGAGTTTCGTCAAAGCTGACTAAAAGTGATCGAGGATGGATAATTTTGACGAACTTGATGAACCTGTGATATCTTCTTCAGGCGAAAAAGGAAAATAAAAGCTGAAACGTTTTCACGGAAGCTTGCAAAAGCAGCGCGTTACAATAGTGAGGGAAAAGCTCTGTGTATCGCGTGTAATCACATCCATACAGTTTATGATCACAACAACAACAACGTTTGTCAGGCGTCTACATTATCATCTGAGGAGATTACAAAGATTAAACCAGTGTTTTTTAAACTCTAAAACATGAAATGTGGAGAAGATTAAAAAAAAAACATACTTTCAATTAACTATAATCTTGTAAATTACCTGTATTTGTTTACGTTATTATTACTTAATCAAAACAACCCAACTGCAGTTTGATTGATATTACGGTACTTGGAATGCGCAATAAAAAAAACGCGTGATTTCTGAAAAAAAAAAAATAATAATAATAATAATTATTGTGTTATCGGTTTTTGCAAATGAACTCTTCATTTGTAGTTGGACAATAAATGTGACATGTAGAATTTTAAACCTACAAGCAAGTGTATTTTTATGATAGCACTGACTAAAGTGACTATAATGGAATAATCTAAATAGCCTAACACAACTCATTTATTTTCATTTTTAGTTTAGTGAATTTAACTTCCGATTTAAAAGCCTTATTTTTGTTTTTAGATTGCAATGTTACAATGTTAGAATGAAATGTGATTTTAACCCTTTTTTGCACATGATATAAATCCAAAAACAAAAATACCGAGGTATATACCGTATATCGCAAATCGGCCAAAAAATACCGAGATATGAATTTTTGCCCATATCGCCCAGCCCTAAATGCAAGTATGGATTTGCTCTCTAACCTCTAAAGGAGAGAAGTCATGGTTGACGAGGAAGGCCAGACCGCCGACTGGAACGACCAGGAACTCCACCCTGAAAGTGTCGTGGTTGCCATCATACGTGGCCTTGAACTTAACGTATATCAGGTAAACCGTGGCGTAGGCACATGCGATATAGATGACCTGCATGGAAACATGCAACAAAACAATGTTAGAAAAAAGTCTCTTTAACCATCTCAACATTTTGAATTTAATGTTTTTGTACTTCATCAGAATTAGGGGTGTGCGATATATATAGTCTGCGATAATATCGTAATTGTTGTTTTAACGATGTGCGGTTTGACATTATCGAGTATTTTGCAAAAACCATTCAAAACACCCATAAGCTCACGCATAAGCTACATTACGTGAAGCGCATTTACAGTGCGTTCTTTCACTGCATGATTCAGTCTAATAAAATAAAATTTAGAATGATCACAAATTCAAATTCAGTTAATCAATTTCACACGAAGAGTGCCGTTTTTCTCCAAAAATGACCATGATTACAAATGTGATATTGATTTGTTTTACAACAGTTCAATAAACTAGAAGTTAATTAAGAGACTTACGTTTTAGATGCCATATTTCCTGTTTTTGCGTTATTTCGCCAACAAAAATAATTCCAAGCACAGCCACAGCGCTGTTTTGTGTCTTTGAGCAACATGACGGTGTTTCGTTCCTGAATGAATCAAACATTTAAATGATTCGGTTCGGTCGAAATGACTCACTTATTAACAGTGACTTGCTGCCACCTACTGGCGGTTTTAATTTTTCACATTTAAAGTTTCTTTTATTATTTAAATAATTTCAAATATCAGTATTAAACGTTTTATGTTTAATATATCAAAACATTATTTATGCATTTGTAATTGCAGGTTAAATGCATTCATGTCTTGCATTAAACAGTGTGTAAATACATCTAAATGCCTCTTCAGATGCAGCTTCTGTGTTGATTTCATTTGCTCGGTAACAGCCCAAATGTCTTATTATTCTAATTCATTGATTAAATGTAAGAATTTGACTCAAAAGATAATGGACACTTTTAGAGAAAATGGCTTTATAAAGGTAAAAATGCCCATACAATGTAAAAATCAGTTTAAACTTATCGGAAAAGATTAATTTATATCAGTGTGAACTGACCAGCACACAGAATATGAAGAATATTAAAAACTTTAGAAATCAGCTGTCCACGGCAGTGCTTAAGATACCAGCACAATAACACACTCAGCAAACTATCGTCAAATTATCGTTATCGATAAAATCCCAGAAAGTATTGAGATATTATTTTTTGTCAATATCGCACACACCCCTAATCAGAATGACACAAAAGTTGGAGACTTTTAAGGCACTTGCTATATGAACACACACAGAAATCATGGGAACTAAAAAATGGCCACACTTGTAAACTTTGAGGTCAAAAATGACCATCACAGGAAATATAAAAGCATATCCTTTTGATCTTTCATTCAAAAAATTCACAAAATTCTAACCGTTCATTGAGGTTAAACAATAGAAAGTGGGGGGAAAATCTCATTATGAAATAAATGTGACCCTGGAGCACAAAAGCAGTGTTAAGTAGCACAGGTATATTTGTAGCAATAGCCAAAAATACATTGTATGGGTCAAAATTATACATTTTTCTTTTATGCCAAAAATCATTAGGATATTAAGTAAAGATCATGTTCCATGAAGATATTTTGTAAATGTCCTACTGTAAATATATCAAAACTTAATTTTTGATTAGTAATATGCATTGCTAAGAACTTCATTTGAACAACTTTAAAGATGATTTTCTCAATATTTAGATTTTTTTTGCACCCTCAGATTCCAGATTTTCAAATAGTTGTATCTCAGCCAAATATTGTCCGATCCTAACAAACCATACATCAATGGAAAGCTTATTTATTCAGCTTTCAGATGTTCTGAAATGGACCCTTATGACTGGTTTTGTGCTCCAGGGTCACAAATGCTCTCTCTAGTTCACGTTAGTCACAATTATTGGCACCCAATTATTGCATGATCAGGTCAGGGAACTGGGACGGCCAATTTTTGTATTGATTTTGATGTTTGTTTTTGGATCATTGTCCTGATGGAAGATCTAACCACGGCCTGTTATAAGATGAGGAGGACTTCTCGTGAAATGTGCTGATGATGTTGGGGCTGTTTGATATTTTTACGCTTTCTGACCCCAAGACTCAACTAATCTCTGCAGTTCTCCAGCCGTGATCCTCAGAGAGTCTTTGGCCGCTCAAACTCTCCTCCTCACCGTGCATTAGGATGATATAGACACACGTCTTCTTCCACGCAGATTTGTAATATCTTTAGTTGATTGGAACTTCTTAATTATTGCCCTGATGGTGGAAATGGAGATTTTCAGAACTGTATTCTTTGGTTTTACTCTTTGTGGTAGATGATTAATGGAATTTGGCCTTTGTTTTCCCTCATATTTATAATCCTGTGGAACAGGAAGCCATGACTGGACAATGTCATGCTTCTAGTCACCCTGGTGTGCTAAAAAATGTGTAAATATGAATGGGAATATATTTCAGAGATATTTTACTCATAAGAATTTCTAGAGGGGACAATAATTGTAGCCAACATGCATTGGAGAAAAACATTTATTTCATAATGAGATTCCCCCCCACTTTCAGTTCTTTCACTTCAATGATAGGTTAGAATTTAATGAATTTTTTGAATGAAAGATCAAAAAGATAAACGATGCAGATTTATTTTCACAGCCGCCTTTGCTCACATTTACCAAGGATGCCAATATTAGTAGAGGGCATATATATATATATATATAGACATTTTTTACAAATACAATGCATGGCGCATGTGTGTGTGTTTGTGTGTATATATATATATATATATATACACACACACACGCGCACGCCATGCATTGGATTTGTAAAAAATTCACTGTTTTTAACACATGTAACAAAGCTGTGTTAATAGAAAATATTATGCATTGTTTTATAATATTTGTATTATTTTAATTATTTTATATAAAAATGGTGTATATTTTAGAGATGAATATTGTCTGACACCATGACAACCCATCTAATAATACAAAATATTAAAGAATATATATATAAACCAAATTACAGTTATTGTTTCCTCTGTGTTTGTCTTTTAACAAAAAAGAAAATAGTGTTTTTCAGGCCGGTGGAGTTCATGCACATCCATATTCTAGAGTAGATTTCTCCCATTCGTTTTCTACAAGTTGTCTGTTATAGCACAGCATTCAGTCTGTAATGTTTTGCCTCAACATATTTAATATGACAGGTCTGGTGGGTTTGTGGATGTGTGCATGTTTTGAACTTTAATCAGCTCAACTTCACCTTCATGCTGCTGTTGTAGAAGGAAATGAAGGCAGTGAGAAGGTCCAGATAGCGGCTGGTGAACACCAAGGCAAAGAGGATCTGACTCTTCCCAGAGATTCCTGAAAAACAAACAGCAACAACATGCATTTCAACACAATTCTGTCTCCTTTCCTCAAACTGAACCCCATTTCAAGCTTTCAGCTCGCTTTATATACCATTGGCATCAATAATGGCCAGTGTAGCATGCACAAGCAAACAGTTCTTGTACAACAAGGTCACAAAACAACATTAAAACAAACCCAGAGATCTGTCAGTGTAAAACAAACAATATTCTAATAAGATCCTGCTGCCACGTCAGAGGTCAGAGCATGCAATCAGAACCAAAGAATGTTATCTACAGCCTGATAACCAACATAGAGCAAAACTCCGAAGCTAAACAGGTTTAACAACATACATTTGGTTCAAATCGCTATTGCTTTTGATGCATATGCCATGCAACTCACTCTCTAGTTCACTGGAGCAACTCAAAAGCAATGCAACTCACATAACAACCGTGCATTCAAACATAAAACACCAGCACTTGTTTACTCCACTCGAATGAGGACTAGTGCAAGAGCTCACAAGGCAAACGAGCGGATCAGCTCGCATATAATCAAATCACACAAACAGACTTTCACCAAACGTGAAGTTCACACACTCAAAAACAGCCCTAAATAGAGCACACTGCGCGTTACTCACCCGCACACGACCTGGTTTTCCAGATCTTCAGCAGGAGGATGATGATGGCTGCTAAATGGGAGAGATCCCCCGTCAGTCTGAATACGTTCATGTTTCTGTGGATCTGGAGAATGGCTTGTTGAAGCGTCGCAGTAAACACGGCTGTTCTGTTCCCGACTGATTCTGAAAGATGACGTGGCCACGGTGATGCTCGGTGTTCGTCACTGGGAGGCGAACACCGCAGGACGAGAAATTAATTGTTTGCAAACACGGTGATTTTTCCTCTAGGGGGCGCGCGGAGGCTCCGAACACCGAGGCGACTCTTTTGGTCTTGGTTATATACTAAAAATATAAGTGATAAAATATAGACATTTACATGAGTGCAAGCATTTGAATGCTAAATGCGAATCCGCGTAATAAAGTTCTATAAAGTAAAAGCATGGGCCAGTAATCGCAGACGACTCTGATTGGTCCGCTCGGAACAACGCAGAGAAAAGTAACAAGTGACACGTGACGACACGAGAGTTTTTACTAAAGCCCCGCCTACTTCGAGTTTCTGCCGTCTCGGTTTCTTTTCCTCCGGTTTGTTTCTGTAAAGTTGTGTCCTGTGATTGAAGTTTGTTGGATCCTGCCCGTGAGGATCTGTGGAGTTGAGGATGATGATGGCTGCTAAATGGGAGAGATCCCCCGTCAGTCTGAATACGTTCATGTTTCTGTGGATCTGGAGAATGGCTTGTTGAAGCGTCGCAGTAAACACGGCTGTTCTGTTCCCGACTGATTCTGAAAGATGACGTGGCCACGGTGATGCTCGGTGTTCGTCACTGGGAGGCGAACACCGCAGGACGAGAAATTAATTGTTTGCAAACACGGTGTTTTTTCCTCTAGGGGGCGCGCGGAGGCCCCGAACACCGAGGCGACTCTTTTGGTCTTGGTTATATACTAAAAATATAAGTGATAAAATATAGACATTTACATGATTGCAAGCATTTGAATGCTAAATGCGAATCCGCGTAATAAAGTTCTATAAAGTAAAAGCATGGGCCAGTAATCGCAGACGACTCTGATTGGTCCGCTCGGAACAACGCAGAGAAAAGTAACAAGTGACACGTGACGACACGAGAGTTTTTACTAAAGCCCCGCCTACTTCGAGTTTCTGCCGTCTCGGTTTCTTTTCCTCCGGTTTGTTTCTGTAAAGTTGTGTCCTGTGATTGAAGTTTGTTGGATCCTGCTCGTGAGGATCTGTGGAGTTTAGAGATAGATAGATAGATAGATAGATAGACAGATAGATAGATGCTAGTGTAAATGCAAGCACATTAGCGATGGTTTTAAATTGGTAATACCATAGTATTTTGCAAGCATTTGAATGCTAAATGCGAATCCGCGTAATAAAGTTCTATAAAGTAAAAGCATGGGCCAGTAATCGCAGACGACTCTGATTGGTCCGCTCGGAACAACGCAGAGAAAAGTAACAAGTGACACGTGACGACACGAGAGTTTTTACTAAAGCCCCGCCTACTTCGAGTTTCTGCCGTCTCGGTTTCTTTTCCTCCGGTTTGTTTAAAGAAAGTTGTGTCCTGTGATTGAAGTTTGTTGGATCCTGCCTGTGAGGATCTGTGTAGTTTAGAGATAGATAGATAGATAGATAGATAGATAGATAGATAGATAGATAGATAGATAGATAGATAGATAGACAGATAGATAGATAGATAGATGCTAGTGTAAATGCAAGCATATTAGCGATGGTTTTAAATTGGTAATACCATAGTATTTTGATATATACTATGGTTATGAGTGATTACCATGTGGATTTCAAATATTAATAACGGTAAAGGTATAAAATAATGTTGTCCCCCCTAAAACCATAGTAATACCATGCTTATGTAATGGTTTCAGATTGTAATACTGTGGTATTTTAATAAACACTGTGGCAATGAATGGTTATGTCACTATATTTACATGGTGCTGCAAAGGACTTCAGAGAATACCATGGTACTATCAAGGTAAATGTAGAAAATCATGATCTTATATCCAAAAACCATGCAACCACAACAGTGATGGTTTTAAGTTGGTAATAACATGATAATATGATATACACTATCACTAAATTCATCCAAAATAGACTTTCACATAGCAATACCGTAGTACCAAAAACTATGGTAATACCATGGTACTTTGTGTCAATGCGAGCACAACAGTGATGGTTCCAACACCATGGGATTGTATTATACATTATGGTAATGGTCCTGAAAATTGTATTTGTGTAGCATAGTATTTACATGGTGTTCCACTGGGCTTCAAAGAATACCATGGTGCTACCACGGTAAATGTTTGAGCATACTGCATTACCAAGTAACAAAAAACATGGTTTAATTAGGGCTGCACAATTATCATTGAATCATTCAAATGATTTCAATTATATAAAATAAATAAATAAAGTTAACTTGCATTATTCAGCTAGTTTGAGTAAGAAAACTTCTTTTTTTAAGAAAAGTTCACTTCCTGACTGTGTTACATTTAAAAGAGCCCGACAGAGCACGTGACCGGTCATATCCGGTGTTACCACCAGGCGGCGCATGTTGGAGGCTCTTGGGATTTACAGGATATCTGCTCTAATGTGTGAAACGTGATTTAAAATGTCCTCACTAGTCAGTTTCATTATCACATTTGGTCCTCTCTCTCTCTCTCTCTCTCACACACACACACACACACACACTCTCTCTCTCTCACACACACACACACTCTCTCTCTCTCTCTCTCTCTCTCACACACACACACACACACACACTCTCTCTCTCTCACACACACACACACTCTCTCTCTCTCTCTCTCTCTCTCACACACACACACACACACACACTCTCTCTCTCTCACACACACACACACTCTCTCTCTCTCTCTCTCTCTCTCACACACACACACACACACACACTCTCTCTCTCTCACACACACACACACTCTCTCTCTCTCTCTCTCTCTCTCACACACACACACACACACACACTCTCTCTCTCTCACACACACACACACTCTCTCTCTCTCTCTCTCTCTCTCACACACACACACACACACACACTCTCTCTCTCTCACACACACACACACTCTCTCTCTCTCTCTCTCTCTCTCACACACACACACACACACACACTCTCTCTCTCTCACACACACACACACTCTCTCTCTCTCTCTCTCTCTCTCACACACACACACACACACACACTCTCTCTCTCTCACACACACACACACTCTCTCTCTCTCTCTCTCTCTCTCACACACACACACACACACACACTCTCTCTCTCTCACACACACACACACTCTCTCTCTCTCTCTCTCTCTCTCACACACACACACACACACACACTCTCTCTCTCTCACACACACACACACTCTCTCTCTCTCTCTCTCTCTCTCACACACACACACACACACACACACACACACAATCTCTCTCACACACACACACACACACACACACAAAGGTCTTCAGAGATTGTATGTAGGTTACTCTGTACAGTCTGCAGATAACCAGGCGTGTTCACGCGTCACAGTGTCATTCAGCACAGAGTGCGCACGCGGCTGAAGAGACAAGAACACTCAGTTCAGATCCAGATCATCATGCACAGACACACAGGCTACGTCTTAGTGAAAGAATTTTCAACAATTTGAAAAGGAAAAAGAAATAGATACTATACATTTGCTGACTGGAGATTATCTGAACAACAATTTCATTAGAGTTTAGCATAAAAACTAAAGGCTCCTCAGCTGTTCTGCTTGACTGACTAAAGATGCTCACAGACATTACAGAAGGAGAATTTGATATCAAAGAGGAAGAACCATGGTACGATCATCAAGATCTGGAACATGGTGAGTTATTCTTTATCTGACGTACTGTAAAAGTTCAGGTAATAATACTTTTTAAATGAAAATGTGGAAGAAGAACTCTAGATTGGCTTATTTTGTTAACAATAAGGTGATTAAGAATGTGCCTTCATTCAGTCTCCATTTAATCGTAGTCTTCATCGAATGTATTTTGCTGATGATGATTGAAGGAAGTGTGTTTAGTTGTGTGTTTTGTGACTCTCCATCACATCCTGACAGGATGACATGACAGTCTGTTTGACAAGAGAGAGTGAAATCAGCTTTGTAATGAACTGATGCGATAATCAGATCGCTTTCTCATTTTCTTGAGTTGTGACCTTAGGTGAAGAAGAAGGAGAAGTAACTAAACACTCCTAGTGACAGAGATAACCTGATGTCCAAATGATTGCACCATCAACCAGATTTACAAATACTGATATGCATAAATTAAAATGGTTCAAAACCAGTGTTTTTTTTAGTTGTGGTTGCTCATTAGATGCGTCCCTCTCTTCATGCAGATCTTCATTTGGCCGCCGAATTGGGTAAAAATTTATTGGAGCAGAACAGAGACTTAGAAGAGACGCTCCAACAGATGTACATCAGCAACCAGGAACAGATACAGGAGATAGAGGTACTGCTATCAAGCGATCGATCTATCTATTTCTGACCAAACTCTCTGTTTTGAGTTAATGGAAACCTTCATATGCACAGAAAAGCAGTCTTTTATTGACACAGTTCCTCTAGCTACATCTTCTGCATTATCAAGTGATTTTATGATTGTATAAATCTTTGTCTTATCTTAAAAGGCAATCAAACTTATTTGTGACTTATTTGTTTTAAGTCGCTGGGGTATATTTGTAGCAATAGCCAAAAATCCATTGTATGGGTCAAAATTATTGATTTTTCTTTTATGCCAAAAATCATTAGGATATTAAGTAAAGATCATGTTCCATGAAGATATTTTGTGAATTTCCTACCGTAAATATATCAAAACTTAATTTTTGATTAGTAATATGCATTGCTAAGAACTTCATTTGGACAACTTTAAAGATGATTTTCTCAATATTTAGATTTTTTTGCACCCTCAGATTCCAGATTTTCAAATAGTTGTATCTCAGCCAAATATTGCCCTATCCTAACAAACCATACATCAATGGAAAGATTATTTATTCAGCTTTGAAACAGTGTATACATCCCAATTTAAAAAAATTGACCCTTATGACTGGTTTTGTGGTCCAGGGTCACATTTGATTTGCATTTTGCTAAGAATAACTGAGGAAAAGCCTTTAAATTGTCCTTAAGCTGATGCAGTTAAAGCTCAGGTATCTGAACCCGTTTGATTGTAGTTTAATGTTTCTTTCTCTTTGTTCAGTATCTTTCTAAACAGGTGGATTTGCTGAGGTCAGTGAACGATCAGCACGCTAAAGTCTACGAGCAGCTGGACTTAACCGCACAAGACCTGGAGCTGAAAAACCAGCGACTGGTGATGGAGAACAGAGCGGCTCAGCTGAAGATCGAAGGGTAAGACTTCAGAAATGATTGTAAATGAAGCGAAGGATGGTATACTTTCAATTGCGTTTCTCCTGATCGCAGGCTCACAGAGACGGTGGAAGGGCTGCAGACTCAGGTGGAGGAGCTCCAGAGAGACATGCAGAAGCCGAAGCTGGTTTCTGATGAACAGACCCGGTCCAGTGATTGTGATAGAGTTCAGTGCAAGGAGACCTGTCAGTTACACAAGTAGGTTTTTGCAACACATTTTTGTGCATTTTAACCCGCCACTGTGTTTTGTGCTACAGTAGGTCGAGTCTGTGAAACTAGTGGCCTTTAAACGGTCACGGTCAAGTGGATTAGTAAAGAAACAAATTAGCTGCTTCTCATTCTTAGGTTTCAGGCTTAGCAGAACTTCCTTCCCACACATTTATATTCCTGCCTGACTCGGCTTAATCTGCTGGAGTTCACGCGGGCAGGGTTGTATGACGCAAGAAAAGGAAAATATGCTATATTTAGTTTAGTTGCATGTACATTCGCAACGTTATTTCTCACAATGCTGACTTCTCGCAATTCCAACTTTATTTCTTATATTTGCAAATTTGTGACTTTATTTCTCAAAGTGGTAACTTTATACTGTAGCTTTATATCTAACAATTGTGACTTCATTGCTCACAATTGCAACTTTATTGCTCATACCTGCAACTTAATATAGAACAATTACAACTATTGTGTGTAATTGCATCTTTATTGCTCATAATTGTGACTTTATATCTAACAATTGCTACTTCATTTTTCGTAATTGCAACTTTATATCTAACAATTGTGATTTTACTGTTTGCAACTGCAACTTTATATCTAGCAATTGAGACTCCATTTTTATTTGCAATTGCGACTTTATATTTAACAATTGCAACTTCATTTTGCATAACTGTGACTTTATTTCTAACAATTGCGACTTAATTTTTTGTAATTGAAACTTTATATCAAACAATAGCGACTTAATTTTTTGTAATTGCGACTTTATATCTAACAATTGCGACTTAATTTTGCGCAACTGTGACTTTATTTCTAACAATTGTGACTTCATTGTTTGTAATTGCGACTTTATTTTTTTGTAATTGCAACTTTATATCTAACAATTGTGACTTAATTTTGCGCAACTGTGACTTTATTTTTTGTAATTGTGACTTTATATCAAACAATTGTGACTGAATTTTTTGTAATTTTTCGTAATTGCAACTTTATATCTAATAATTGCATCTTCATTGTTTGTAATTGCGACTTTATTTTTCGTAATTGCAACTTTATATCTAATAATTGCATCTTCATTGTTTGTAATTGCGACTTTATTTTTCGTAATTGCAACTTTATATCTAACAATTGCATCTTCATTGTTCGCAACTGCAGCTCTATATCTAACAATTGCGACTTCATTTTTCATAATTGCGTCTTTATATCTGACACTTTACTTTAGGTCCTATCCTTCAGTTTTTCTCATTGAATATCCTGTTTCATTCTGAAATACGTTAAAATAGGCTGCAAACTGCAATTCACGTCGACTTTAAAGTCTGGTTTGGTTGATCTCAGAAAAAGTAAATATTTTACCTAATATTTTAGTCTATACAACTCCAGATTTCAGTAAAATGCAATCTTTTGAATGAATTTATACCATTATGATTCTCATATATTCGAACCTCAGTTATCTGACTAACGGCTCTGATTTCTCACCATGCTGCATGTATTCAGGTGCTTTTCCCATGAGCGCTCTGTTTCCACCAGCCGCTCGTCTCTGAAGCGTGAGGAACAGGACGAGCTCTGGGAGCTCAAGCGCTCGGTTGATTCCCTGCAGGCGCAGCTGAGCACAGAGCGCGCTCAGAGAGAGGCGGCCGAGCTGGAAGCTGATGCTCTGACGCATGAACTCATCCAGCTGGAGCCCAGAGCAGCGCTGCTGGGAGTCTACAAGGAGAGCCTGGCCGAGACGGAGGCTGAAGTGCAGGAGCTCCGCCTGCGTTTGCGCTCGAGCAAAGACAACGTGGACCTCCCATTGGATGATGAAGCGGGCGGGGCCGGACACAGGGGGCGGAGCCTGCGGTGCTGCAGCAGCGAGAGGCAGTTGCTAAGCAACGAGCAGCCTGAAGGGAAGCATCATGGGATCTCTCTGCTGAACGAGATGGATGCTCAATACGCCGCCCTGCAGGAGAAATACGACACGCTGCTGCGCCGCTGCCAGGATGGGAAGTTGTCCGAGAACCAAAAAACTGCTCAAACGCACACAAACACACAGAATGATTCCCAGCAGCCCGAGTACAAGGCCCTGCTTCAGGAGATTTTCAACATTATCCAAAAGAGCAAAAAGGACCTGAAGGAGAACAGGATCAAGCCCAGGCAGGCTGAATGAGGCACTGATCTGCATCTATATCTGAACTGAGGGAATTATACTGACAGGACTAGAATGGTGTGATACCACACATTACTGTCTGCTTTTATTGCCACTTTTATTGTCTGGTGAGTGTATATAAAGCATTTTTGTAAATATTTCCAAATGTCACTGTGAAACAAAAAGCTGTAAACTTAAATGTACTGGAAATCTTTGTGTATTTATAGTGGGATGAATCTCAACAAAGACATTTCCAGGTTATATATTACCACATATTCAGTAGGAAAAAAAAAACAGATGAACACAAACATGCACAGACGTTTTACTATTTAAGTATATCATTTATACATATATTAATTTATTATTACCCTCTAACTCTAGCACTCTCTATTCTAATTCTATTCTTAAAAAAAAAACACTTGTCCCTTTTAGACTTGCACTCTATTCATTTGCTGCTTTAAAAAAAAACACTCTAATCTTTTTGTATTCTATCTGTTTTCTTTTCATTTATTATACAATTAACAAAAGCAAAAAGACCTCTAACACTAGCTTGCTCTATTCTATCTGTTTTCTTTCTTTTTATTTATTATATGATTAAAAAAAAACCTTGCTATGTGTACTGCGTTAAGCTGAGACTCTCTTTTTGGTTTTGATTGCTTCTGTTGTCCTCGTTTGTAAGTCGCTTTGGATAAAAGCATCTGCTAAATGACTAAATGTAAATGTAAATGTAAATATCATATTTTGTCTGCATTACAGTAATGTGAAAGAGTGAAAATAATGAAATGCAGTTATCAAATTGATACAAAAATAGACTATTTTCTTGTGAATATTGAGATTTATATTTATATATTTACAACAGCTTTGTAAAATTAAGTCTAGTATGTTTTAGTCATAACTGGTCCGTGCATTTGTTGCATCTGTTAAAGGAAATCCATTATCTTGAAGAAGTCAAACTTTTACTTTCAGTCTTCACCTCGTTGTCAGGTCGTGTTAGTATCATTCATTCATAACTCCACAACAGGGCAAGTAAGTGTCTTTTATCATGTGAACTTTCAGCTGTTCAACTTTCAACTTTATTCTGCATATAAATGGACTTTCGACCCAGATTGTGGTCGTCAGAGAACATGGTCTTCAGTCCCGGTGGAAAGTCTGCTTCTAATCTAAGCCCCTGATAAGATTTGAGTGACATAATGTATTTATCAGACTGACATCTTCAGACATTATACCGGAGATGACACTAAAATGGAAAAATTTAAAAGGTATAATGTATTATAAGCAGCACATCTGCTTACTTAAGACACTAGGTAGAAACTGTTAAGGAAATATACAATATGGAAGAATTGACCATATTCAAGCATATTGTGAAAAATATCAATTAAGTACTGTAATCAATAATCAATGATTATATGTAAATGATTAACCTCAAAAACAGAATGTATACCCCTTGTACTATTGTTTTTATTATTATTATTATTGTATTTCTTTAAAACTATATGAAATATTTTCTTGAAAAATCAATCATAAAACCCGACATTAACCTCAAAAACAGAATGTATACCCCTTGTACTATTGTTTTTATTATTATTATTATTATTGTATTTCTTTAAAACTATATGAAATATTTTCTTGAAAAATCAATCATAAAAATAAAGTACAACCCGATAATTTGACATTATAGTAATGTTTGGGCATTTAACGGAGCTCAAGTGTTTCTCAGTTTGAGTGTCGCTTTTGTATTAACCTTGTAAATTCAGTGCAATATGTAAATATGCGATGCTGCTTTCTTTATGATGTAAAATACACTAAAAATAAAAAGTTAAGTCTTGCAAATTTAATTTTCGCTAACATTTTAGTTTTACAATGTCCTTGTTACACATTTTTATTAGATGTAACCGTAATTTATGCATAATTATATCCAACTATCCCTAAACCCAACCAAACCCCATATTAACTAAATAATTAGTATTATTTTGTATTTAATTGCATAACTGCAACAAGGGCTCCTTAATATAAAGCGCAACCTAATTTTCTTTATACAATGCAGATTGTTTCAAAGCAGCTTCACATTAACAAACAAGAAAATAAAAGTGTTAATGTTGTAAAATACATCAATTTCAGCTGTAGAGAAGACAAAAGCATCATTACTCGGATCAATTCATATTTTGTTCTCATCCGATAATGTCAGCTCAGTCAAATCAATAAAAATTAGTCTTTTGTAGGGAAAAATTAAATGAGAACCTTTGAAGACAAGATGTCAGTTGCAATGTTTATTCAGAATGACATACAAATAAAAAAGGTCAGATTTGGGGTTTTCAGCTGTGGACTTGGCAACGATGATCCAGAATATGAATATGTGGAATGCTTAATAAACAGAAAGTGAACGCTTCATATGCAGGTGTGGAAGAGACACAGACAGAGACAGTTATATATGTGCATGTGAAGATGATTTCAGTCATAACTGCGAGATTGCAAATCATATTGATACAATATTTCCCCTGAATAATTAAGAGGCACTTTCTTTCACACCCAAACACAGTTTAGCCACTTCAACAAAACTCCCAGATGGATGTTCACTTGCATGACTAGGAAAAAGAAAAAAAAAAAAGAAAAAAAAAAACATGCATTTTTTTATTTTCGTAAGAAATTAATGTCTAAATTGCTTCCGCATTTATTCACAATGCCATAAACGCTCTGAAATAAAATGGACAAGATTGCAAATATAAATTCAATGCAAACGTCATTCAGAGCTTCGCATTCTGCTGCAAATCTACCATCAGGTCCAATAAATAGTCATCGATTCATTTATTCGATTTTCAGGGTTTGAATTGATCTAAACTGCTCCAGAATCAACCGTGTCCAAATGTTTTGTCCTTTTTTTTGGTTGTCACAGAGCTGTAAACACTTCAACGGGAGCTTCACAGCCTTCACTTGAGCAGAGAAATTAATATTTCAGAGGATTCATTATGATCTAGTGTTTCTTTGGGTTACAGTGAAGTCAGGGAAAAATAAACGTAATATGCAATAAAAATCAAGGAAATTATTAAATCAAACATCTTTTTTTCAGTCAGCTTAATGTAATAAACAAGGCCGAAAAGCAGGCCACAAGCAGGATAAAATGAGATGAACCATGATCTCCTGTCATACCTACTTCCATATTAAATCATAAAAAAGAAACCAAAAGAAAACCAGCATTAACTGATAGTCTGCTTATGTGTTCAGCACACAACTCCTTTCCTTAGACTTTAATTTCCCGCAAACGCAGGATCGAATGGATCTTCAGCACTTTACGTGAGATGCTCATGTGACCAGAGGTTAACGTATGCGGAGGCTCCGGAAGTGGGCGTGTCCTCGAGGGCAGTGATTGGTTGGTGTATTGGCTCCGCCCCCCCTGTGCAGCGTTCCCTCTCACTGAACTCTGAGGGCGGGGGGGAGACGTGTGATTGACAGGATCTCCGGCGCTCCTGCTTTCCTGTCAGGAGGGAACGGTTCCCTTCAGATACCACATCCCTCCCAAACTCGTGCAGCACTCCTGAACAGCACACAGCAGTTATCAGCACATTCTCGCTTCAACAATCACTAATCATTTTCCTTCAGTCAGATGACTGGAGAGGCTTTCAGGCTCCAGTTATATTCTGCACTTAACACACATCATGCATTACTAGCAGATGGTCTAAGACTAACGATGACAGTCACAGACTGATTACATTGGTGTTTTTTAAAGGGGTATTTTTATTATTTTCTGGTAGCCTAAAATTATGTATTAATATGTAGGGTTTTTCTTAACTTTAAAATGCCTATGTAAAAATAAGAATAAATAAATTAATTTGATCATCTCTTTTCTCTTTCAATTTCTGAATGTTTCATTTTGTTGTATTACATTTAATTGATATATTGCTTGTAATGTGTTATTTATGCATGCATTTACTTTACTTTTCTGACTACTACTTGGAAAACCAAATGTTTACTTGAAAGCTACATACCATAAAAAATAAAAAAATAAAAATAATATATATATATACAGTGCCATGAAAAGGTTTTTGCCCCCTTCCTGTTTTTTTTTTTTTTTTGCATATTTGTCACACTTAAAAGATTCAGATCATCAAACCAATTTTAATATTACGGAAAGATAATATTAAAATACAAAATGCAGTTTTTAAATGATAATTTCATTTATTTTTCATGATTTAAGAGGAGGGGCAAATAATTTTTCACGTAGGGAGGTAGGTTTGGACAGCTTTTTTCCCTTAATAAATGAAATCATAATTTCAAAACTGCAGTTTGTATTTACTCAGGTTATCTTTGTGTAATATTAAAATTTGTTTGATGATCTGAATCTTTTAAGTGTGACAAATATGCAAACAATTAAAAAAACAGGAAGGGGGCAAAAACTTTTTCACACCACTGTATATATATATATATATATAAATATTTATATTCATTTCAGACGCGTTGCATCTATTTGTTGTCATGTGTGCATACAAATTTTATTGTTGAAAATAAGTTAGAATTTTACATTAAAGTTGATTTATTTAATGTAATTTATTTATTAATTTGATTTTTCCGACAGTCTTTTTTATTGATTTATTTATGATTTAATGCCATATCAGCACCAATAGCTATATGACAAAAAACAGTATTATGATTACAATATCATTTCAATATATTGTTTACAAGAGTTTACCAAAAACAACCAACATAAAAAATAAACAAATACTTAAAATCTGCCTGTCTGTCAATTTACTTGAAAGAAATAAATGACATAGAATAAAGGTGACATACCATTGTTTTAATAAAACAAAACAAAATAAACAATCATACAAATAAATAGAAAAAAAAAGAAAAAAACTATTGACAGTATCTATTAGATGATTTATTGCTTGTAATTGGTTATTTACTTATTTTTCTGACTTTTTAATCATTTGTCTAACACTTGAAAAACTATTTGGAAAATCAAAGCAATGTTTACTTATTTGAGAAATAATTAAAGTAAACATACCATTGTTTTAATTAAAAATAAAACTAAATATTGACAGCTTTTTTGGTTAATTTATTGTTTGTAATGTGTTATTTTTCCTGACTTTTTATTTGTTTGTCTAAAAATTTTGTTCGGAAAACAAAGTAATGTTTACTTAATTAAGAAAAACTCGAAGGTTACATTTTAAAATAAGAAACTACAACAAAACGTAAAAAAATAACAATGTATTCAAAGTTACTTATTTTTGTAGCACAACTCTAGAAATGTAACATTGTAATGGCACCTTGAGCAGTCGATCCACGTCGGTTTTGGTGGCGGCGTCACTGAGCTCCTGAGTGAGGCGCGTCTGGATCACGCTTCTTCTGACGCGATAGTTCTTCATGAAGATCTCGTACAGAACCTGGCGGTGCTGCGGACGAAGACAAAAGCATTCTGGACTAACTGCTAACGGTCACAGACACAGACAACAAGACTCAAAATCAGGGATGCACGATATTATAGGAACCAGCCGATAAAGGCTCAAAATGTAAACATCGGCCGGTTTCGACAATATCGGTAAATTCCGATAATATCGTGCATCACAGACACAGACTATATTATCGGAACCGGCCGATGTTTACATTTTAAGCCTTTATCGGCTGGTTCCTATAATATCGTGCATCCCTAATTTTGAGTCTGTGTCTGTGATACACGATATTATCGGAATTTACCGATATTACGATATTATTAGAATTGACCAATATTACCGATATTATCGGAACCGGCCGATGTTTACATTTTGAGCCTTTATCGGCCAGTTCAGATAATATCGTGGTTTGAAAAAAAATTACGCTGATACGTGTTTGATTAAATAAAGCAGTAATTGATGTCATAAAATCACATCAGATGCCAAACAAAAGGAAATATATCGGTATCTGCAAATATCGGCAAATCAGATATCAGCAAAAATCCAAAACTGTGCATCCCTCCTCAAAATCACAATAAATCAGGCTGCAGCTCCCAGAAATCACCTTGTCGAAGGTTTCTCCGCTCTCCCACAGGCCGAAGACCTTCTGCTCGTCTGCCGTAGCGTTGCTCTGAGGAGGAAACTACACACACAAACACACAACGAGTTCAGAAACAGCCAATGCACTGTCTAATGCTAGCATTAAGACAATTACTTTGTACTATTTTAAGTATTTGTTAGACATGTTGCTGCCCTTTGTGTGTGTCGTCATGTGGGTGCACATGAATGAATGTTATAAAACATAACAGTTACATAAGGACTGTTTACCAGCCACACACACACACACATACATACACACACCCTCAATCCAATTAGCCTTAAGAACAAAAGACCAGACCACATCTTAAACTCAAACACATTACCTCAATGAGCAGGGCAGACATACAAGACAATTAAAGCCAGAAACTAACAAACATAAAACAGTTCACTTGTGCTCAGACGTAGGGTGACCACCTGGCAATAGATCTGTTACGGGACAGTAGATGTGATTTTGAGGGGCCATGCGGGACACGTGTGAGACAGATACAATCACTTCTGTTATGCTATGAGGGCTGCCAAAAGTGTATATGATACAACGATAATTTTTCTCAAATGAAACGGGAAGTTCTGGAGATGTTGTTCATGCATGTGTGTCCAAATTTAGAGAGGCATGCAGGATTCATATTTAAATAGTCTTTTTGCAGCCTAATATTTACAGATACTAGTCCATATCGCGATTTGATTTACGTGGATTGACCTACTTTTGATTTATTCATCCAAGCCAGGGCTGTCAAAAAAATAAAAAAATTTGAATTTCGAATATTCGTCGAATTTAAAATAAAAATCCACATTCGAATGCAAAAACGTTGCATTTGAATTTTAGGTGTGCATTAAGGAGGCAGCGTTATAAGTGGCGCATGAGATGCGATGACGATGCAAGTGTCGTTGCATTTGTTTACATCAAAACCGAAACCAAGCCGTTCACACAGAACGCATATTTCGCGCATTTTCTAGAGGGACATCTATCACCGCTGCACTCGTGTCTCGCACAAAAGAGCCGCATGTTTAGAAAGCCATGTAAAATTGATGCAATTTTAACTTTAAAAAAAACATATATTGAGACTTTATGGCGGGTTTTTTTCCCATCCCACTGCAACTTGTGTTTTTAAATGAAAAATGTACTGTGTGATTGGCTTTCGACCCTTTGTATTAAACTATGAATACATACATGATGACACTAAAAGAGCTTTGACTTAAACTATCGATCAGAGACCGAAGACATGGATCATTTAGAGACCTAAGAAATGGATCAAATACGATACAGTCGCTTTATAGGGTTAAAGTCAACATATGGCTACATAAAGTTTCAAGACTATAAAGATAAAAACATCCCATCTTGTCCTTACAGCGCCACCTTCTGTTACACTCAAGTACACACACACAAACCTTAATGATGGCAGCGACCTCTTTTCTCATCAGGGTTCTTTCTAAGGTGAATCTCCACATCTGAAAGGGCAAGGATCAAATGCATTTACCAAATCAGCAAACATTAATAGTAATAATTGTGACTCTGGAGCACAAAAGCAGTCTTAAGTCGCTGGGGTATATTTGTAGCAATAGCCAACAATACATTGTATGGGTCAAAATTATCCATTTTTCTTTTATGCCAAAAATCATTAGGATATTAAGTAAAGATCGTGTTCCATGAAGATATTTTGTAAACGTCCTACCGTAAATATATCAAAACTTAATTTTTGATCAGTAATATGCATTGCTAAGAACTTAGTTGTAGAATAGTTATTCGTTAATAGTTAATAGAAGAATAGTTGTATCTCTGCCAAATATTGTTCTATCCTAACAAACCACACATCAATCTTCAAGCTTATTTATTCAGCTTTCAGATGATACACAAATCTCAATTTCCAAAAATTGACCCTCATGACTGGTTTTGTGGTCCAGGGTCACAAATATGATTGGACTGGATTACATTTTGTGCTGGACTATACAAAATATTATAGAGAGGCTATTGTTATTAAAGTGCACTTGAATCTGGAATGTAAAAGAAAAAGCCTAAACTTAAAAAAAAAAAATCAATATTGAAATTAAGAAATAAATATCACAGGCCTGTTTTTATATCAATATATCTTGTGCTGAACTTGATCTGACTTGGCTGTATACATACATGATGCTGTTTTGTTTATAGTTGTTTAAGCAACTTAATTATAATTGGTTTATAAACATTATTTTAAACATTATGCACTTTTTTCACAGATAGTCATGTTATCTTATGCTTTGAATAAACGTGCATTAGTAATATTTTGCTCGATGCGCCCTCTTGTGGCCTCAGAAGCTTTTCTTCACCCTAACTGGAAATTATGCATTTTAAATTCTACTATAATTCAAATTTTGATCATATTTAAGTACAAAATTCTAATTTAGTTTCAGCGATTTCGACAGCCCTAATCCAAACAAAATTCCGTGACATTCCGTGTTATAGAGTAAATTCCGTTTTTATGAAGTCACAGGGCCCCACAGATGCATATGTTGAATCAGTTTAAAACAAAACAATGCGGTGCATTAAAATCGCCCAGCATCCGCATGATCCGTCACAGTACTTACAGGCACCAGGATCTGTTTGCACTGGCTCTGGAGGATGGTGTCCTGGAGCATGCGGTCCGTCACGTGACCGTACACCGAGTGACCCGTGGGTAAACTGGCCAGATGCAGGTTAAACAGCCTCTTCACTTCACTCAGGCACAAAACATAATGCTTCCGGAAGGTGCTCCGCACGAACTCCTGCAGCTCCGGGGTGAAGGCGTGACCGTGACCGTGTCCGTTATGAGGGTCCGAGAGCGGAGAGGTAGGGTCGGGGTAACCGTTGATCGAGCCGTTTGTGTCCATGGGCTCTTCAGAGTCACTAATGGGCTCCTGTTTGACCTGCACTGGGGTGCTAGATTCACCGGACGAGCCCGTGTTTGTAGACACCTTCGGTCTCCGAGCGTCCAGCTCCCTCTGCATGAGGGCGTGGCTTTCTCTAGCGCTCTCCCTCGCCGCTTTCAGACGCTGATCTCCGCTGACGTGAGCGGGCGCTGCAGCAAACACAACACGACGTGAACACACAGAACGAACACTGTTCAAAAGTTTGGGAAAGAAACTAATATTCTCATCCTGCAGAGATGCATTAAATCAGTAAAGACATTTTTAATGTTACAAAAGTGCTGTTCTTTTGAACTTTCTATTCATCTGTGAATCTTGAAAAATAAAACGTAGCACAGTTTCCACAAAAACATTAACTGTTTTCAACATTGATAATAATCAGAAATGTTTCTAATAATCAGCATATTAGAATGATTTCTGAAGATCATGTGACACTGAAGACTGGAGTAATGATGCTGAAAATACAGCTTTGATCACAGGAATAAATTACAGTTTAACAGACATTCACATTGAAAACAGCTGTTTTAAATTGTAATAATATTTCACAATTTTTATGTATTTCTGATCAAATAAATGCAGCCTTGATGAGCAGAAGAAACTTCTTTAAAAACATAAAAAAATTATTCTGATCCCAAACTTTTGAACGGCACTGTACATCCAAATTTCCATAAAAAGCTCGGCATTAATAATTAAATTTTGCAACAAAAAAACAAAACAAGCAGCTGACATTTAGAATATATTGCTTTACATGAGAGTACTGTATGTATGCAAATAGAGCTATAAAGATATACATCCAAATTTATACATAGATTTGCGAAAATAGAGTTTACCTTTTTGCAACAATACAAACAATTGCACAGTTGAGATATGCTATATAGTATATATTGCTCTACATGAGAGTACTGTATGGGTAAAGTAGATGTACTATATATCCAACCTGTTTAGTAATATGCATTGCTAAGAACTTCATTTGAACAACTTTAAAGATGATTTTCTCAATATTTAGATTTTTTTTTTTTGCACCCTCAGATTCCAGATTTTCAAATAGTTGTATCTCAGCCGAATATTGTCCTATCATAACAAACCATACATCAAGCTTAAAGCTTATTTATTCAGCTTTCAGATGGTGTATAAAGCTCAATTTAGACAAATGGACCCTTATGACTGGTTTTGTGCTCCAGGGTCACATATAGCTAATGACAGCAATATCTGTAATTGTATGATACAATCATGTGGCGAAAATCAAAATAAAGGAGAAATATAAATGAAGCTCACCACAAAGTCTCGACCACGACAGACACGGCTGCATTTATTTGATCAAAAATACAGTAAAAATAGTAATATTGTGCTTTTTTTGTATTTATTCAGCAGCACAACTGTTTTCAACATTGATAATAATCAGAAATGTTTCTAATAATCAGCATATTAGAATGATTTCTGAAGATCATGTGACACTGAAGACTGGAGTAATGATGCTGAAAATACAGCTTTGATCACAGGAATAAATTACAGTTTAACAGACATTCACATTGAAAACAGCTGTTTTAAATTGTAATAATATTTCACATTTTTACAGCATTTTTGATCAAATAAATGCAGCCTTGCTGAGCAGAAGAGACTTCTTCCAAAAACATTTTAAAATCTTACTTACCCCAAACTTCTGAACAGTAGTGTGCATTGCTAAGAACTTCATTTGGACAACTTTAAAGATGATTTTCTCAATATTTAGATTTTTTTTTTTTGCACCCTCAGATTCCAGATTTTCAAATAGTTGTATCTCAGCCGAATATTGTCCTATCCTAACAAACCATACATCAAGCTTAAAGCTTATTTATTCAGCTTTCAGATGGTGTATAAATCTCAATTTAGACAAATGGACCCTTATGACTGGTTTTGTGCTCCAGGGTCACATATAGCTAATGACAGCAATATCTGTAATTGTATGATACAATCATGTGGCGAAAATCAAAATAAAGGAGAAATATAAATGAAGCTCACCACAAAGTCTCGACCACGACAGAGCACTTCGGCAGGAACGCCGCTGTGTGAGCTACAGGTGTTTTTGGGATACAGCACATCACTGCCAAAGACACAAACCACAGAACTTCAGCATCTACTCAAACATCACACATCGACTTAATGTAGGAAGGAAACAAACAGCGCACCTCTTCACGACCCAGTTTCCCTGGACGAGCAGCGCCACCTGCTGGATGCAGCGCAGTACTGCGATGGAGTCCGTTCCCGAGGCCAGCAGCCCCATCAGATTGGCAAACGGCATCACCTTGACTACGAGCAAAGGAAAACATTTATACACAGGGTTTCTGCAGGCAAAACAATCCCTCGATGCATTCTCTGAATGTAAATGTCTAGCGGGAACACAATGAATTTACCTTCTGATAACATCGCAAAAAAGAGATGTTCTTCCTCTGTCTTGTTTTCCAGTGCAAATGTCTAAAGAGTCTTAAAGGGCATCCCACAGCATTTTTGATCAAATAAATGCAGCCTTGCTGAGCAGAAGAGACTTCTTCCAAAAACATTTTAAAATCTTACTTACCCCAAACTTCTGAACAGTAGTGTGTATAGTTACATATATATATATATAGTACATAAATAAGTCAGAACATACCCATCCGAGCATCCTTTTTAGCCACAAAGTCATCTTTGGAGAAGTTAAACACTTTTTCCAACCTGTAATATAGTGCTCATTTAGAAACACTAGGAGATTCTCACTTCCTATTAAGAACTATGTACGATATCTTTAATTATTCACCTTATTCAGCTAAAGCATTAGTTCACCAAAACAAAATGAAAATTTCCCCATATACACTCAGTCTCATGTTATTATAATCCTGTATAAAGTGCAGCAGTGCTTATCAGGTTAACAAAGTGCTTTTGTGTTTCATAGAATAAAGAAAACATGTATTTGGAACGGTGTGGAATGAATAGATGATGATAAAATGTTTCTCTTTAAAGGCAACAAACTCAAAGTTTTTATGTCATACTTAGACTGAATGCCCAGCCAAAGCATCTGCTGCCTTTGAGCCACATCAGGATGCTTTCTGATGAAATCATGATCTGTGGGCAGCAGGAACTCCCAGCCTCGGTTTAATCGAGGGACCGACATCTGCTCCAGGAAGTCCTTCACGTCCTCTGGAGGAAGCTGTAGTCACATGACAAAAAAAATAAAAAATATCTGAGGATGAATTATAATAATACTCCACAGATCATTTATTATATCATTTTGAAAATGCCTATTTTGAGTGGAAGCGGAAACACGCTGTTTTCGTGCCTGTATCTTTAAATGCAAATTAGCTGCTGCTCCCCGCCCCCTTTTCCAGAATAAGGCGGAGCCTAGTACCTCAAATACAAAAAACATCTGTTTAGGTTTGATAACCATGTCTATCATGCTGAAATCATGCGTTTTAAAGCCATATCAGTTTAAACTAGGGTTCACAGAAAGCAGTACTAAAGTAAGTTCTCTTTCATGTCTTATTGCGCTTAAACTGTCAAATACACAAAAGTTTGTTTAAAACACACATAGGTTACACAAACACAGTCAGTTATGTCTGTGAAGGTACACAGCTGGGACAGAAATCGCATGTTTATAGTAGATCTGTATTTTAAGTAACAGCAGCACCAAAACATGCAGATTAAGGGGCGGTGATATTATAATAAGATCCCCTTCTTACGTCACTAGGGGAGCGAAATCTGAGCGGCTCGTTTTTTCACATGCTTGCAAAAAAAGTTACTGGGTTGTCCTTTTTCACGTTGTCTGGTTTTGTAGATGCACCAGGGACCCAATTATAGCACTTCAGTGTTTCCCCTGCCATTATTTTAGGGGGGCGGC